GGGGGGGGGGAGGGGGAGAGAGAGAGAGAGAGAGAATGTGTCCTTATACAATTGTAAGTTGAGCGCGATTCAGTGATCGTCACCGACAAACTCGACGAGAGAGAGGGTGTCTCAAAGAGCGCGAGATGTCCGTCTTCACTTCGTTGTTTTCAAATTTTCACGGGAAGAATTCCCCGGATACGCGCCCGCCTGTCCGTCTGCGCGCGTATCCGCTCGACGAAACTTTGAAAAAGCTGACCTACATAGTGGCCTCGTTTAAATTCTTCACCCGAATAAATTCCCCTTTTCCTGCGGGAGGTACGCGAACACTTCGCACCTTCGGACAGCTCACCTCGTAGCGTCCGTAGCCGGGACATTCTACTTTCCATCGAGGGTGGTGGAAAGGTTTGATCTTGTGAAAAGTTGGTATAATTTTATTCGTTGCTATAGATATAGGAATTAAACGAATACGAGATCCTTTTATAGTCTCTCTCTTTCCTTCTCTCTCTCTCTCTCTCTCTCTCTAGTTCCTTAGTTAATTAATCTTTTATGCCGACTCTAAGTTACGATCTCTTGTATCTTTCGTAAATCTTCTTATGGCTATTGTTTAACCAAGTTATGATTTAAAATGCGTTAGAATAATTTGCACTATATTATAATTAAATCTTGGTGATTTATATTAGTACCGATTGGCATCCTGCTGATACTAATATTAATCCGCTGTAAACTCAAGGGGTTCGTACCCTAAGGTATAAATAAAATTTCTCTCTCTCTCTCTCTCTCTCTCTCACTATATATTAATGAAAAAGATATTTATTTAAATTGAAAATTAATAACGCATGCGACTGCTACAACTCGATCTCGCAGTGTGTATATATTGCGGTTTTGCGGGGATTGCGAATGATTCATACATCAATTGATATTTTTTATGGAAACAAACGGCGCCGTATTTCGAAAGCTTTTCTCCCTATTAATTAAACTAAACGCGGAAAAAATTCTGAAAATATTAACAAACTGACAGCAAATACGCAAAAATATTGAAAAAATGAAATGCTTTTTTATTGCGATAAAATTGTATAAATTATATAAATAATAGAATTGAACATTTCGAGTGGAGTCTACTTAGATCTGTAGAAAATTTAATTGAGCTTAATTTTTTAATCATCAATTAAGAGAAGCATCTCGATATCTTTGTTCGTTCTTGGATTATGCCTGCGAGATCACAATACATACATAGAAAAAAAAACATTAGATTCAAGTGAATAATTATTTCAATGCTTATCTAAAATTTTCATTTGGACCGAGTAATATTTATTTGATCCAAGTGAATATTATCCAAGTAAAATTTTACTTGATTCGAGTAGAATTTACTTAATCCAAGTAGAAAATCTTGCTAAGGAGTATCAGAATAATTATTTACTCGAATCTAGATTTTTTCCAATGCGAAGTGGATCGGACTGCTCCACGCGTTAATATCTTTTACTCCCTTAGCTATATTCTTATCGTTAACCCCTGCAGTAACAAGTAAAACGTTACCGACTTTTCACAAGTTCGAACCTTTCTGCCCCCATCAACGGTGCGCGTATGATGGAGTGTCCTCAGTGCGGCTCTCGCTTCGAATACCCGAGACGATTGAATTTTAATGACAAGCGTACGAAGTTGGAGAGCTATTTTTTCCCGTCGCTCTTCTTTTTTTTCCTCGTCGCGCCATACGTCGTGGTCGCGACCGTAAAACTTTCCGACGGGTTGCGAAAACTCGAAGGACTGAAAATAGTCGCGGAACAATCGCGCGACGACTGTTTTCCTCCCCGGGCGGGCGGGCTTCGGAAAAGCTGTCGCAGCGACGCAGCGCGAGCTTATATATTTTTTCCGCGTCCGCGTTACACACTGAGAGAAATTTCCCGTCGTCTTGTGTTGATACGAAACGACGAGGCGTCTCTCTTTCTCTTTCTCCTTCCGGTGCGGCATCTCCCGCTGTCGGAGGCTTTGACTCCGCGTTCGATCGCGCGCGCGGTTTTCGCGCGCTACAGCGATCGATACGCGACCAACTACTCGAACTTGGTGCCCAACTCCGCCGTACTCCGTAAGTACTATGGGATAAGTTAACTATATACTGTACACTCTATGTACACATGTACTCCCGGTACATGGCGAGGCGACTGTACGGCCGGATAATATGTGGGTTATTGCACATTACTGAACAATGCGAACGCGACGCAAATTACGCGCGACGGGCGCGTTATTCTCGCGGGACGGAGAACGACGACGCTGCTGCGAGGCGGCGCGGTGATTCCACGACGTAATCGCTTTTTATCGATCGCCTCGTCGCTTATCAATTCTTTATCAGCGTCTCTCATCGAGATTGTCGCG